TTGTTTCACACTTGTTCACAAAAGCAAAAAGGTGAGAAACTGAGCTGGATCAAAGCAAGGAAACGACACTGAGGAAGCCTGTGAAGAACTCACTCCCCCTCCAATCCCACCCCTCCCGCAATTGTCAAGCACAACACTTCCTAACCTACTTCTTTAAATTGTTTCAGTTTGAACCCTTCCATTATATTTTGAACCCTAACTACTAACATACACTCACCCCATTCGCAAAGGCAAAAGGAAAAAACACCGGAACCACAAATCTTTCAAAAACTGCGAATTTGATTAATTCCAGACTTTATTGACATAGAGGATTCGGAACTAAAAAAAACTTAACTTTCTAAAGCAGAAGCAGTGGTTGCAATGACAAAGTGCTCAACGTTAAGCAATTTTTTGAATAAGCCATGCCTTGAGCATTACTTAAAAATTGTAGAGATTAACCGAGCATTTATTGAAGAGAAACAACTATATATTTACGATGGGAAAATTCTGGGTATTGCTACACACTCAGAGGTGTGGCGATTAGGACGACGAGGCTTCTTAGTTGATAACAACCACAACTGATAACGTACGTGCCCAAGTGAGGCAAAATAAGTCGTTGATACGTGATGGAGAGCTAATCAATTGATTTTACGACTACATGCAAACCCTAACCGTTCTCATTAGTTAAATATTGATTTGTTGATATAATGTTACAAGAGGAAACGAAGAAGAGGTAGGTAGTGAAATATGTATTAAGACTGCTTTTCCACAATTGATTTCTATCTGGCTAATCTACTAAATTTTACCAAGCCTGAGCCAGTATTGCTTGAGAAATCAAATAAAAATAAAGAGGTATTTCTCACCCATGACAGTAGGAGAGCAGCATAAGGTCCAACAAGTCATCGAATTACTCAGCAAAGCAATTTGAAGCCCTTAGCAAACACCCATTCTTGCCCCCAAATGGGACTTCATTCGGAGATTGTGAATGTGTCAGTTCAACTACACCATAGGCTTCATCACCCATAACAGATGGAGCTTATTCAAAAAAAAGTTCAAAATAGGCCAAATATCACAGACGATCCTGCTATCCACGAGCGAGACCCAGCACTGGCCCTCCCTCAAGCAATTACGAACGCGGAATCCTGCTAGAAAACTCACAAGCTTTTCCAGATAGATATTCATTTCGCCTTCAAGGAGTCACATTCTACTTAATTCGGCTTACTGCCAACTAGAGTTCCAAGAAGAAGTGCTGCCTAGAAAGTGGTGAAACAACTCTCAAACACCACTCTAAGCACAGCATTCAAGAAGTTGTGTAGAGCGCAAACAAGAAAGAGCGAAACAGACCCAGTGACCATGAGGACACTTCAGGGTGACGAGGATGACACGCTGACGATTGCTGCATGAATTGCAGCCCTGTGGGTGAATCATCCAGCAAACACGACATGCTAATCACAATAGAATCGAGCACACAGTGCCAAGACCACGTACGATTGGTCATACCTCCTCTAACAAGGAACTGATTTCGCTCTTCTTCTTAACAACAATGAAATAACTATAAGCGGAAAAAAATGAGGATAAATACGAGAGCATTAATGCGATATTACCTTATTTTTCAACTTATTTTTATTGGATAACTGCCGTTTCACGCCGCAGTTCGCATGGCGAAAGTTAAGACCGGAATGCTGAGTTATGAGCAAAACTTTCGCCCCGGCCTTAAAGGCAAGAGATCAGGGTACGAATCTCGCCTGGGTCGAGAGTTCTGCCCACAACTCAGCATTCTTGAGATAACTAATGAGATATTTCTGATATTTATTACCATCAAAATGATCACAAAGCATAATTTCGGGCTGATTTTTCTTGCTTTGAGGGTATTCTAGAGAAAACCCAATTAAGACATTTCGGCCAAAACTGCTCAGAAAAAAGCGGGAGTTTGGAAATCAAAAACATACTTGAAAACTACCGCAGAAATATACCAGCAAAACACTGTCCAGCTAGGAATATGATGAGAGGGAGCAAGAGGAAATCCATATTGCTCTCAATCTCTAGGAAAATTTCCGTAAATCGAGAGCTCAAAAATCAAGAAAGCACTCCACTGAGGCAAACATAATAATATTTCTGATACCAGTTGCACAGTACTTGGCAAGAATTGAGACGAAGTAATTGGTACATCATGGGGCTATTGATCAGGCACTACAGCAACATGAATAGTTTCCATGCAGGTTTTTCCAGTTCCAAGCATTCGTAGCAATCTCCAGAAACTTCCCCACATCCTCGTTCATTTCAAGTGTGTTCATCATAGGAATTCAAGGAAACACGATTTTGAATTCCTTGAAAATAAAAGGGTGAAACATCCTGGAAAGGAGGGAGGGAATTGCAGAGCGCAAGCGTTTTGTGAGACGAATTTGCGCTAATTGCAGCCTTACCACTTCTGGCTTCCACCTTAATGTTTAGGCAATTCCAGTATGAAAGGTAATCTAAGTTTTGCGACCTTCTTGCCACCACCGTATGCCAAAAATATTTCGTAGCTTATTCGCATTTGACTCGCAATTATCTAACGCTCAAGAGTCGCGGTGGACTACGCCGTTGGTC